CCACCCCCCCTCCCCCCCCCCCCCCCCCCCCCCCCCCCCCCCCCCCCCCCCCCCCCCCCCCCCCCCCCCCCCCCACGAATGAACAATGTTAAGTTAGGCGCAATAAGAATGGGATAAGTAAGAAGAAGAGAAAAAAAAGCAACAATCCGCTCTGATACTGCGAGTTTCATACTCACGTATTATACTCGTGGTTTGATTACATCTCATCTCGTAAAATGAAGAAGACTGTGTGAAGCAATATGTGAGAGTTGTCTGTTGTGTTAGATCGGGTTGACGACTGTTACGAATCTTGGGGCCTGCGGCCCAAGATTAGGCCATGCGCAGGGCGCATGGGCCACCTTGAGAAATGGGAAGGACCTCCCTGTCACGTGGCACCCTCAGGAGCGTAGTCTCGCGTAGCTACGCACCACTACGCCTATACTAACGATTTTCTATATAGATAGCTTTGTATTCCCACTAGGTAGAATCGTCAGTAGTTAATCTAAGTCATTCCTGAAGCTTATCAATTATCACATACACTTGAATCACGATATTAACTCTGTTACTTTTAAACTAAGCTTTAACCTTGTGATAACGACTTAAACTTTTAAGGTTACAATAAAACCGTACTATAACGAATTGGAAAAAACAGTAAATTAAATTTATTTAATAATATTATTTACATTATTTTAATAATAATTAATAAATTAATAAAATTTTAATAAATAATATTTTATTTATGTTACGAATTAACATTTATTAAAAAACGTATTAATTTAAATAACGGAGCGGGGATTTTTTAAAGTAACGGAAAAACCTCAGTTATAAATACAATTTTATATAATTTAATAAATTTGATTAATTTAATTGATTTAATTAAATTAGCTAAATCACTTAAATTAACTATATTATAATACCTTTAAAAAAAGATAAAAAAAATAATAAAATTATAAAAAGTTAATATATATTTAATTATTTATTTATGTTTTTTTAATTATTAATTTAAATTTTATATTTATATAAAAGGAAGGACTTTAAGCTTTTTTAACGAACATTTTTAACAATATTTTAATATTTAACTTATATTATTATTATTTACTTAAAATTAAACTTTAATTATTATATTTTTATAAATTTAAATATAAGTTTATTATATTTTAATAGCTTTTTAATTAATAACGCTACCGGTTAAATATGGTATAAGTATTAGCTTTAATAATAATATCCTTTTATTTATAAAAATTATTTATAATTTATTTATTTTAAAATATTTTTTAAATAAATTTTTTAAGAATTAACTATTAATTAAAATTAATTAAGCAAAAAAACGTAACGAACTTAATATACCACCTCTTAATTACGTTTTAAAATTAATTAATAATATAATTTTAATAAAAATTAAATTTTAAGTAAAATTATTATCTTAATTTAAAAAAAAGGTAAAAAAAACTATTAAGTTTATTAATAAAGGAAAAGGAAAAGTAATTAAAAATAAAAGCAATAATAAAAACAATAATTTAAATAATATATTATAATTAAAAAAAATATAAATAAGGTATATTACGTATATAAGGGATTTAAAGATAAATTAACGGACTTATATAATAAGTTAATTAAGGTTAAAAAAGAAAAAAATAGCGATAATAATAAGCCCAATTTACGTCCAATATAACAGGACCTAACTGTTCTTTTACTTTTAAATAAAAAATTTAAACCCTCTTCATTACTTAAGTATAATAGTATTATTAACATAAAAAATTAACTTAACACGGTTAAGCTTTACTTAATATTCTTTTAAATTAACCTTAACAAAAATAAATATAAAATTTTAATAATTTGTTAATACTTTAAAAGAAATACCTTTACGTGGCTTTAATTTATTTTAAATAACTATTTAAATAAAATTTAAAAGGAAATAAAGGAATTTAAATATGTTTTTAATAAATATAAAAACTTTAAAAAAAGGATAAAATTAATATTTAATAACTTACTTAAAAAAGAAAATATTTATAAAGTTATTTAAAATCTTAAATAAATTAAAAAAGCTTTAAAGTACGTTACTTAATTTAAGCGCTTAATAATAATGGCTTAATTATTAAAGGACATTTAATTTAATTACTTTTATAAGGGATTAGTAATTTAAATAAAAAATAAAATCTTTAAAGAAAAAAGATTTAAGTACATTTATAAATATATTAAACGAACTATTATTTACGATAAACGGTTATATAAAAGGTTTTAAGAAAAGAAAATTAAGAAAATCATTTTCCCCCGTATTAAAAAAAAACTTAAGGAAATAAACTTTAATACTGTTAAAATGAAAAAGTTTAAAAAAGATATAATTAAAGTTAAGTATTATAACTATAATAAAATAAATTATATATTTAAAAACTATAAAGTACCTCGAAAATAGTTTAAAGTATTTAAAAGATAATTTAAGCTTAAATTTACAGAAATAATATCCTTAAAGGCATTTAATATTTAAATTCCTTAAATTGCTTAAAATATTAAAAACTATATTATTTTAAATAATTATTATTAATAATTTAACTTTTAAAAATATAATTGTTAAAACTACTTATAATATTTTAATAATAATAAAAAAGAATTAAAATAACGATTTTTATTTTAATAGTATTTATTATTTATTAATACCGAAAAAAGATAAAATATAAACGAAAAATACTTATAAGAAATGTTTAACTATATTAAAAAATAATGTAATTATAAACCAGATCCTTAAATCTTAGAGAAGATTATTAAAAATGCTTTAAATTAGGAATTTTAGGCATTAATTACATAAACCTACTATAATAAAGATTTAAAAAAAAAAAGTTTACTTAAACTCGAGTTAACGAAATATTAAATTTTATAAATTAATAAAAAACTATAATACTTTAAAAAAAAACGAATAACTTTTTTATAAATTTAATAATATATAAAAATAAATAATTAACTATTAAGCTTATAACAAAAGGATATTAAACCTTAATTTAAAATAAGTTATAAGTAGAAACTATATTCGCATTTAAGAATAAATTACTAAACAAGAAAAAAAGCAAGATCGAAAGTTCTATATATTCCCTATAAATTAAGTAATTATAATTTTTTTAATTTTAAACCTTACTTAATTATAAAAACTAAAAATATAATAATTTTTAATTATTAGAGGACTATAAGAAAAAAAAGTAATATATGTAAAATTAAAGTTTATAATAATAATTATTAATAAGTACTTTTAAGCATAAAAAAAAAATATTAGCAATTAAAACTGATTTTAAAAAAGTAAAAACTAATATCTTAAAAATAATATACTTTTTATAAAAGGTTATTAAAATAAAACAGTTTTTAAACACGGAAGGATAAATCCTTATTTTTAAAATTAAGAAACTTAATTTAAAACTTAAAGTATATATACACAATTTACAATAAAATTTAAAATATAAATAATATTATAAAATATTTTAAATCTTTTATCCTTATAATCGTTATTAAATATATAATTTAACTAAAGAAAATACGGGCTTTTAACTTAAATTAATAAAAAGATACTTATTTATATATAAATATAAAAACGTTAATAAAATTAAAATCAAGTTCGAACTTACCCCTTTAAAAAACATACAAATAAATAATGTGGTTATTGGTATTACATTTCCTATAAATAATAAATTTTATAAATGCACGCACTACAAAAAGTCATAAAAAGCTTACGAACAACATAAATATCAAGTACACATGATTCATAAATTTGTCGCTTTAAAAAAGTATATTAAAGAATATAAAAACATAAAAATACTTAACGAAATTCTGTTAAAACTTATCGAAAAGTAATAAAACCAACTCGAAAAAAAGGATTAAAATAAAAAAAATGCTTTAAGGAACTTTAACGTAATATAAGCAATTAATAATTACTTATACGTAATAGTAAAATAAAAGGATTAAAAGTTTTAAATATTAATAAATTGTAAATATTTTATAAATATTATATAATTTAATATAATTAATAAATATTAAATTAATTATTAAAAGAAAAAAATATTATATAAGGTATTTATAATTAACAAATAATTAATTAAATATAATAAAAAATAAATTAAATGAAAAATTATAAATTTCTTGGTCCAGATTTAATAAAAAGAATAATTAATTACTTTTAATATTATTAACACTTAATATAATATAATTTTAAAAAAACCTTAATTAAAAGTTAGTAATTTAAGGATAAATTAGTAGAAAAACATTATTAAATAATTATTATTAAAATTAAGTACGAAAAGTTATAAATTTAAACATTAAAATAAAATTAACTTAAATAAACTTAATATAACAACAAATAAACACATATTTACGGCTTTCGAAAAAGCTTATTAAGCAATACCTTTA